TTTAAATTCTTCAATTCTGACAATTCATTCTCAGTACTCTCCGTTATGTCTTTCAGGTGGGTGGGTTTTACAAGATTTTTCTTCGTCGCAAAGAATGGTACATAATTTGTCGATGCGATCCTCATGATTCGAAATAATTATGCCTCATCCTTTATCTGGACGAATTAGTATTATATCCTCGTTATTGGACAATTCCCTCATTTGTTTTTTTATGCTCTTTTGATATCATTTGTCGTTGTCTTCTTTGCTTTTTTAAGTATTGATATTAACAATACAATATGGCCGATTTGAATTGTTCTAGGCTTTCACTAGACCTCAGAAGTAGGCCCTGTGTCTGAGACATCAGATTTACTAACTGCACCTTCGCATCTGATTCGTCAACTCTGGATGAAAAAGTACAGAACTTATGACCAAGAGATAGGATTTGCATGTGAATGTCAGACAGAGTCATACTGGAATAATTACAAACATATTTCTCCGGTGATTCCGGGAATTTCATATTAGATTCGGTTTTCATTTTTTGGCAATTTTTGAATATCTTAATTCTTATATCATAGGATCTGTTCTTAATCACACTGAACATATATAATCCTCAGACTGGCTACGTTCGGTCTCTGTCTGTTCAGATGAGAAAAGGCAGGCGTTTGAATATGTTATTCTCAGTCCTAATCCGAAGCACTTGTGGATTATTAGTATACTTAGTAGCCTGCTGACTATCATTTCACAGTAAAGTTGGAAGTAAATATCTAGATGATCTGTTATTCAATGCTACAGTGCTTTCCCATCTTCATATCCTTGAATACGTTTTAGCCATTCTATCCCAAATCTCGAGTGTTACTGACAACAGTGAAATCCTCAAATAAGGTATTATAATTATATGTCAATAGTTTACACACAATGACAAGTTTCTTTTGGTAATAATTATACCTCATTTGATCTATTCCACAATGCTCAAACGTATTACTGACATTTAGTGAAATCCTCATTGTTTACAGACTTTAAAAGACGTCAGTCAATAATCCAGCTGTCTTAGAGAAAGTCTGTGCTCCTACATTTTGTCGTCCTACCAAGTCAGTTATTCAGGATTTTAATTCTTACAATTTTATCCCGAATTCATTAATTTATTGAATAAAAAATAGCGGCCAGTGGGGGTTGATAAGATGGTTGACTTCCAGAAAAGCATTCTTTTTAGAACACCTAATAACCAGTCCGTGGAAATATTCACATCACATCAGAAAAAACTGGAAACCATCAGTCTATCGGTAACAGGCCAAGACTTTAAACGCTTTAGACTAGCTTACATCTGACGATAAGAATTTCACAGTTATACTTCGTTTAGCATTGTAGGAAGATACTGACCAACAAAAGGGCAGCGATTCTACGTCAAATGAGTGAAATTCAACAGGATAATTTCCTTTCACTTAAACTTAATTTTAAAAAAACACGTCAACATCTGTATTACTCTTAACAACACACAACATTTCTAGTACAAATAACAACTGCAGTTTAATGTCAAAGAAAACCCACTGATGATATTGGTGCTGGTGCAGTTGCGCTAAAATCACGAATTCGTAAGAAGTTGAAATTTTTTTGTCGGTTGAAAGCTGAGGAGTAGAGTCCCAGTGAGTGAATAGTCTATGAGCTCACCTTGTAACCGGAAGGTCCTGGGTTCAAACCCTGGCTGTGGATGCGTACTGTCGATCCATGAGTCCTAAACTAGTACACTCACTAGTTGGCTTCCTATGGCTTTCTCTATCTGGTATCAATCAACCCGCGGAAAACTTGAAAAACAAATCAAATCTCTTTCACGTTCCCCAGTGGAACATAGGGCTTCAAGGTAGTGGCTTGAAGTTTCTGTAGCAGTGTTTATTTATTTTACAGGATGGGGTCGCTAGCCTCATGCCCAACCTTTCCTCTTTACCAACATTATTTCTGGCTTACCGAGGTAAAGGAGTGTGTCTGTGGCCGGGGATCGAACCCCGGACCATGTGAGGCATGGTTGGCCAGCGTCCTAACCGCTATGCAACCGACGCTCTTAGTAGACTACAATCAATATAATTTTATACTTCTATTGTGGAGAAAATTTTACTTTAATGAAAAGTCTCACAGTGTTAGCAGTAGTAATATTTACTGAAGATATTTCGAGCAGAATTTATTGCCCACAATCATATCAAGGTAAAAATTGATTACACATATAAATGAATCAAAATAAAAGTCAATAAAAACAGAAAGGAAAATAAATTACATCGAGAAATAATAAAGTGTAATACAATGCAAAATAAGATGAGTGCTGTTAGTCGATTGACGGTGGAAGAATTGCTTTCCGGTAACATTCAATAAGCCTGGAACACTGTGACCCTAGAAACCTAGACCTCTGTAGGACAAAATCCGTATTAAACTTCTTTTAACCAGTCTACATGAAAATTACTATTCTATTATGAAATATCACAAAACTATTCAATATGTCAACTTGGTATCACATAAACTTGATATGATTGTGAGCAGTCAATTGTGCTAGAAACTTCATCAATAAATACTACTTACTGTATAACATTTTTTATTTTGTTTTTATTTTTGATTACAGCTTGATTCCACACCGTATTTTTGGTACAAGTATGGAATCTTCAGTATGGATATCGGTAATTATTGAATTGAATTTTTGATTTTCCCGTCGATTGGACACTGGGTTCGAGCCTCGGTGAGAACATCATCATCACTCACTGAGAAATGCAGGTACATCCAGCTGACGAGTCCCAAATAGGACGAAATGCGCATCCTGGATTCCACTGCTAGCCACCATCCACCAATTGGATATCGGTAGCCCAAATTTTTCAGGCCGACCATAGATATAAGGTGTACGTCGGCAGGGGATCGAACCTCTAACCATGTGCATGGTCGGCGAGACTCCTAACCACTGTGCCACAGACGCACAAAATAAATTGCATCTGACGACGATATTTCACGCCGTCAGTACAGGGTATTGGGAGTAGTTTTCAACTAACAATAACCGCGCCTAAGATAAACTTCATTGGCTACGGTACCGCCACTGCGCAAAGTCCTCTTCAGACTTTATCAAAATAATGTAAGTGTAGAAGTTGGCCATTGTGGTGGTAGAATGTAACTCCATATCAGTTAAGTTTATTTCAAATATCACACAGTGATCATTCAGTATTAACAACCGGATGACGAGTTTTCGAGCATAAATGATTCGCACTCATAATCATATCAATTAGTCACATAGTTTCACAATTTGTCTTACACGTAGATATTTTTGTTCTTTCTCCCGTTCAATCTTCAACCGGTTGTTTGTTGCCAATCTCTATATCTCCCGTATAGGCATTGCATCAGTCCGGCTTCACGTGTACAGTATTGAATCGACAAACAAAGCCTCAGTGATTAACTTCTCTCCCACACAAACACACACACACAGTGTCTCCACTTAACTATATTGCTTTTGAATCTTTTCACTCTGTCCCACCCACCCACCTATTTGGTGACTACATGCAAGTGAATGCAACACAATGCACATACACACACACACACACTGAGCTCTGTTTTTCTAGCTTATTCAACTTACTTATCAGCATCAATTGTTCTGGGTGTAGGTAGCTAAATGTTTCTGTTCCAATCATCTAGCTGACGCCGATCTACTAGGTTGTCTGACCTGTGTAATCGACCTTACTTCATAGTCATTGCATGGTGTTTAATAAATTGTATCACTTTTTTAATTAGATCTGTGAGGTTGTTAAGCCGACAGATAAAGTTAATCTCTGAGAGAGTTGGTAAGTTGGTTAGATGGTTGGTTGGTTGGTTGGAATGCCTCATTGAGAATTCTATGTAAAGCCTTAGATGATGTTGCTTCTTTATGCTGAATGTTTGTTTATTGATTCAACACTGGACATGTGCAGTCGAAATGATGCAACTCATTTGCTGGAGATGTGGAAAGCGGTAACAAACAAAAAGTTGAAGATAGAGAGGGAAAAATTAAAAATATCCATTTATGAGACATTGTGAAACTGTTTGACTAAATTGATGTGATTATGAGCAGTGATAAATTCTGTTCGAAACTATGTCATCCAGTTGTTAATAATGAATGATCACTGTGTGATTTTTGAAGTGAACTTGTCTAAGAGGAATTTATCTGATGCTCACTAGCGACTAGCCCTATTCAAACAGTTAAGGTGAGATTCTAGTGGGAAGCCGTGACCAGTAGGGTAAAGCAGGTTGAAGACGAGGCAGTAATTCATCGAAGAAGACATTGCGAAATGGTCGCACTACGTCGTAATTAGCAGAAGTTAAAAATTCAAAGACCATTGGATCGGGTCCCAATGGCTCAATGGTCTACGAGCTAACTCGCCTTGTAACGAGAAGCTCCTGGGTTCGAACCCTATAGTGTGGGTGTCTACTGATGAAGAGTCCCAAACTAGGACGAAACATCTGTCCAGTACTCCCAGGCTTTCCAGAGCTTCTCTAACTGATGTCAGCTCATGATGAAATCCTCCATGCAATCAAACAAAATCCCTACAAAATCAATATTTGAGAATTTATAAAACACAAAATAATTGAGCTCTACAATTATATATATATATATATATATATATATATATAGGATATTTGCTATTATACATATATGCTGCTGCATCTTTATTATTATTATTTAAGCATCTTTAATGGACTGTAATTGCATTGATCTTACTGTACAAATCGATATTATTTAAAAAACACTAGTACTGTTATTAACTACTAATCTAGAATATTCTATGTATATAAACGTATATATAATTGTAGAGCCAGAAGAGGAGAAAATTATCAAAAGCGATATTCTTTGTGTTTTATATATGTCTGAATAAGAGGAGTTTATCATAGTAAAGTGGAATTATACTGTATCACAGTGCTTAAATTCTATGCTAATACTAATTTTATACTGACGGCTGAAAGTAAATTAACTAATTAAGAATACAGAGTCGTGATAATGATTATTTTTAAAGTTAGCTACTTACTCTGGCCGCCATTGAAGTTTGTGGTTTCTCTACCAAATCCCATATATTTTTTTGCAGTGTAGCCCATTTTCCTGTACCGAATTGTTCTTCTTGTGCTTGTGATAAACTTATCTCCCTTGTCTTCTTCAACTCTTCTTCAACTTGTTCTTTTTTCTGATAATATTTATAGAAACAACATGTTTCCAGTTGGTATTCATTTATACCCCAGTAGAATAAATCATTTTTAAAGGCTAATACACAGATATCTTCTAAAAAATGTAAATGGCCTGTACGATAAACACCAAGTATTGAACCGAATGAACGTGCATATTGATCAAAGTATAACTCATTTTTTTCAGTTGAATAATCATCAAATAACTGAGCTAATTCCTCAGGATTATTAGATAAACTCAATCGACCAAGACGAGATAATGGTAGACGTTTCAGAGTTTTCCACATCACTTCATGTCTTTCACCGCCCACATTAAGTATAATACGACTGTGATGATTACGAGCTCTTAGAAATGCTGGTACATTGACACTTGCTTTAAGTAAATCTGTTAGTGAATCATAACTTCGCAGTGAAATATGATCAATACTGCTGAGATTATTATTCGATGTTAAATGACTATGCTGAGCGTGTGACAGTGAATGTATATTTCTACCTATATATCTACTCAAAGTTTTACAGAAAGCTTTGGATTTATTTAAACGTGAATGTAACTTTTTTCTTGGTTTTTTTCGTAAACTGATGTCATCATTATTTGATATGTTATTGTTGTCAAGCACTCCATCAACATTTGACACGCCAATTCTACTTGGAACAGTTTTAACAACATTATCAGTATTGATGAAGGCAGTATTACTGGTACTTGTAGATGTTTCATTGACTGTAATATTATTCCCGGTGTTCTCCATTGATTACATCTCCTAGATTAGAGTTTCCCAACAGGATAAATGGAAATAGGGTATACACCTCTCATGGATTTTGTCGTTTCTTCATTATAGTCCTTCTTTCAACTGAACATTTTATTAAGATGAATAAGATTTCATAATTAGTAGTGATATTTTCAAACTATCTCCATTTTTCGCTTTTTTTTCAACCTCTTGTGACTTTTTCGTACCAAATCTTTCACAGAAAACTTTTTTTAAATATTTCCTAAATTATTTTCTCAATCAAAAGTCCTCTCAGGCACACAATAAAAGTTTCAATACACGTGGAAACGGTGAATACACATAAATTCTAAATGTGGGTATGCTATACTGACTAGCATGCATAAGTAATTAACTGCTTTTACACATGCACACAACCAACCTATTCAGCATGCATGTAGGCATATAGAGTACTACTATCAATCAGCATAATATATACACATACACACACACACACACATCAGTTGGCGAATAAAATTTCACGGCATACATTTACTGTCCACATTCACCACACCACCTACCATCAAATCTCCACTTACCACCATATAAATATCTGCCTATAGAAAAAGCCCAGTGACCAATAAGAATATGTCTGACTAATTAAACCTGATGAAATCACCAATAGATACGATAGTTTCCCAAATTAAACACGTGACTTTGCTATCACAACGTATTGTGTAGCATTTTCCATTGCTTCCCTCATCAATATAAAGAATGTGAAAAGTATTTTAGTGCAGGAAATGGGAGTTTGGAAAATACACTTGACTATGTTGACTGTCTTGTAGACATGAATATAAAAGATTTGAAAATGTATTCTTTTAATGTCTTAATGCCTTGTTTACTAATGAATCATTAGTTAAGACTGTTGTTATTCTTTGTGTATCTCTATATATATACCTCCTAGTTGTTTTTTCATTCACTTTTCCCTCAACTTGTTTGAAAGATTCATCACTATTATAGACTGACAACGTCAATTTCTCATTTGAAGTTGAACACTTCTGACAAGTAATGGAGTTGCTATGGTGAGTCTGTTAGGCCTCTTGTTGGCGGATGTTTATATGTTTTATGTTGAAAACTTGTCCGTTGATTCAATTGCTAAAGTGCCCTTCCATAAGAGATATGTAGATGTATAATTTCGAGATGAGATGATCATGAAGATGAAAGTCGTCTAATGTATAGACTTAACTCCGTACAGGATCATATAGTTCCTACATGCAAAGAAGAAGCTCACAATCAGCTTTCACTTTTAGACACACTTCTGAGTCAGAGAGACTATGGTTCATTGAAGCGATCAGTTATTAACAGAAACCCTACTTGGACAGGCCAATACTTAAATCTCTACAGCTTCTGTCCACTACAGTATAAGAGAGGCTTGGGGAAGTGTATATTCAGAAGAATTTAGCGTATTTGTACAGCTGCTGTTATAGACGATGGGAATAAAATACTGATGGATACTCTTATTGAGGACGGATATCCTTTAAAAGATTTTAAACCAGTGTAGAAGTTAGTTAGTAAGTTTTAATGTCCACAATCTATACTGTCCCTAAGAAAGATGTTTGCATTAAATTACCGTACAATGGGGACGTAGATAGTAGGTCTTTAAGACAGAAACTAAACTTAGTCATCTGGAGAACCTATCATGCTTATACTTATTGAATAAGCCAGTTAAAAATACGCTCCACTGCAAACCTCAAAGGTGCATAAATGTCGCTTCCCACACTGTTCACCAATTCACGTGTGTGTCTGCGTGTGTGTGGAGACACATTCATAGGGAGGAGTAATCTCACTTCCCATGTGAGGGTGGGGGAGCATATTCTGAAGTGATTAGAAAAACAAATCAACTTTTGACAATCAACAGACACAGGTGGTAGACTTCTAACTTCGTCTATAGCTAAGCATTTAATTGTGATATGAACCACAACAAGATTGGTGTTAAAACAGCTCTATAAGGTTACTTTAAAGAGGGCCAAGAGCGCTTATTGGAACACGCTGAGGCGATGGCTATTCATAAACTTAAGCCCCACACCCCCTGTGTGTACAAAGGCAATTTAATATTACTCCTAACCTACATTGTTAATCCTTATCTTATATTAGATAACCAAAGCTGGTCACTTTGTGTATTTTGATTGGCCCTTATTTTTCAAATAAATTGACTTGACAAGTAAATGTGTGTATGTGTGATCAGATCGTTGTTCGAAATGTACTGCTCAAATTCATCACTTTTTTCTTAGATAATCTCCCCCTTCTAATTACACTATACAAAGTTTGAAAATATCCAGTTTTTAAAGATGTGATAACTCATGTCATTTATTTTCATTTCATAAAACACTGAATGAAGGTGAGTGTGACAACCATTTTTAAAGTTCATAGTTTTTTGTTCCTTCACGTTCCCAGTGGGACGTAGGGCTTTAAGCTACAGCTTTGAAGTTTCGGTAGCAGTGGTTTAATAATAATAAAAAATAAAATTTTACGGAATGGAGTTGCTAGCCTCATGCCCAACTATGCCTCTTTACTAGACTTATTATTGGCTTAGCGAGGTAACGGAGTGTGTCGACCGTGGATAGAACCTCGAACCACCTACATGGTTGGCGAGCATTCTACCGCTGTACTAAGTAAATATTGAATGCAAGATTGTTCACGAACTGACTTCAGTTCGAGAACCAATGAAAACCAGCCGGGAGTACTGGATGGCTGTTTTGTCTTTCTTTGGGACTCTTCAGCATTACGCATTCACAAACCTACCAGTGCTTGAACCAAGGGCTTCCAGGTTACAAGACAAACTCATGTGCTCTTCAGCCAATAGGACAGAATCCAATACACCATCAATTCTAACTTCTATCAATTCACGATTCATACAGCACTACCACTAGCCGTTGTCGCTGATGAGTATTTGTCCACATACTCAACTTAGCGGATACCTCTGGTCACGAGTTCCCACAGGATCTTCAGGTAACTCCATTCTAGAGTCGGTCACTAGTGATGAACACTGGTTCGACCCCATTCACGATCATAGATAGCTACCGATAAAGAGTAACGAACAAGAATAAAACAGCTGTCCAGTACTGGCTGGTTACCAGTGATTCTCCAAATGAATTCATTTCTTAATTAGTCTTGGAATCAATCAAATCTGTGTAAATCGATACTTGAAAATATTACATATCCGACGGCTTATGGAAGCTGTCTAACCTATTCTTCAGTATTTCCATACTCCACATGGTAAATCCATCTATAAGTGAGAGAGAAAATCTTCAAAAATCAATGGTAACTAAACTTATCACTGGCTTTAGTTTTTAAAAAAATATTATGGCACAGACAGACGATTATTATGCTCGGACAATGGGAACTGTAAAGTTCCCATTGCTCGTCTGGACAACATCTCCAGCGTTAACTTCTCTGTGAGATGAGTGTCGTAGATACTACATAGATGAAATATCTGTCCTTCTTGGTGGTCTCAACCGTAACTGGTTGACTTTATACACTTGTATTGGATTGGTGCTGATCCTCCTGTTTATCCAGCGCCTGATATTTCGGTTGCGTGGCTTTTTTATAAACTGATGAATTTCATCCATGCCGAAATATTTAGTTATTTTTATCATTATTTCCTTAGGTTCCTGGTGGAAAATAGAGCTTAAACAACACATCTCTAATTTGTTGTATTTTCTACTGTCCTGATAATCTGGAGTCACGATTGCCCATTATCTGTAATCTTGTCATCTACAGACGACCTCCTCCATGTGACCGTCGAAGGCTATTTTGATCTCGATGAAATTGACAGGTTAGCCTCTGTTTCAATCGGCAGGTACATTCCAATCCTTCCAAAACATTTTGCAACAATGGCGTGACAGCATCTTCCGCTGTCTCTGTGTGCATCTTCAATTCTTCGGGAGAATTCTATCCGGTCGTGGTGGCTTCGTAGCTGCCTTTCAGTTGCTTGTTTGCATGTGAGACTTCTGCTTCTGTTGGGTGATCGATATGCATGTGTAGTTTTGTACGTTCTGCTGGTGGTATTTGTGGACGAGTTGCAGTTGATGGTCGATTCTAGAGTCCTTTGAAGTGATCAGCTCATTGCTTTATTTGTTTCTCCTCCTTGGTAACAAGGTTCCCTTGAACACCTTTTATGGTTCATTTGTGTTGATCCCTTGTCGGATAGAGACCTGGTCATTTGATATAATGTTCGTAGGTCACTTTTACCTGTGGCCCGTTCTGCTTCAATCTCCAGTATGTCGTAGAATTGTCCCTCTTGTCTTTTCTAGCACCCTTCTTCACTTCTCTCTTCAGTGTGGTGTACGTTGTATGCGCTGAAGTTTCTGCAGCAGTCTGACTGGTTTTCCGGAGTACCCGCAACCCCGACCCTCCCTCTTCTGCTGGACTTCGGATTGGCTAGAAAACTAGTAAGCTAAACGAGATTAAACGCATATTGTGTGATGTGATATGGATTGATCAGTAGCTGATACGCAGTCAGTGATGTTTTACTTCATGTATATATTAATCCATTTGATTCCTGGTGCAAAACTGGTTTACATTTAATGACTAGTAATGAATTCATTTTGGTAACTCTAAACTATAGCCACCCGAATAAACAGACATGATAGCCTTGATCAACCAATCAGATGGGCCCGTAGTGAATACACGTAATTTGTAAAACTCTTTCATAGACATCAGTAACACTTTCGTGTGTCCCAAAGAAACCTCCTAGTTCCATAATGGAGTCTTCAGCGATAGTTCAAATCTATTTCTGTACATCAACGCATTCAGGTAACTGTGTATCATGCTGTTTCGTGACGCTCTCTCACTGCCCTACAGAACCTAGAAACCTAATAGAAAGGAACAGAACATCTTCTCGCACAGGTTTTCTGTAACGACGGCGTGGATATCTGTACACATCCATGGATAGCGGATGCGCGCCTCTCTGAAGACATTACTCCTCCCCATTTACAAGCTTCCCATAAGCCTATTATCCCGACGACAGTACTCAGATACTACCACTTGATAGAGTTTGCAATATAACTCGAGTACTGCATCTATATTTCCACCTGTTTACTACAAACTAATCTGGTTGGCTGACTAAGGTCATTACGTCCGTTCAATAGGTAACATCTTAGCGATCACAGTGCCATTCATTTATAGCATTACAGTTATAATTTTTTTAAATGAAGCTACTTATATAGGATAAATGGTGGAGGGTGCAGTGAAAGCAGGAATTTGGGGGAGCTTACAGAGGACAGAGCTGAAGAAGATACCTAGCCAACAAAAATAAGCAGCAATCACTATCACCGGGAGATATCTAAAGAAAGTCACCTATTTCACTAGCCTGAACTGGGTAGCATAGTTTCAAATACAAGCGAAACGGATGAGTATGTTGAAGACAGCTGGGATCAGAAAAC